ACCCCCCTAGCCTCCAAAATGATGCTGAGTCCAGACCAAGCCGCCGACTCGGACCACCCCAGCTCGGCGCACTCGGACCCGGAGTCGCTGGGCGGCGCGGACTCCAAAGTGCTGGGCAGCGTGTCGGACCTGGAGCCCGTGGAGGAGGCCGAGGGCGACGGCAAGGGCGGCAGCCGGGCCGCGCTCTACCCGCACCCGCAGCAGCTGAGCCGCGAGGAGAAGCGCCGGCGCCGGCGCGCCACGGCCAAGTACCGCTCGGCGCACGCCACCCGCGAGCGCATCCGCGTGGAGGCCTTCAACCTGGCCTTCGCCGAGCTCCGCAAACTCCTGCCCACGCTGCCCCCGGACAAGAAGCTCTCCAAGATCGAGATCCTGCGCCTGGCCATCTGCTACATCTCCTATCTCAACCACGTCCTGGACGTGTAGGGCCCGGGGCCGGGCGGGCGCCTGCGGAACTCCAGCGCCCGCGGGAGCGTGAACGCGACCGACGCGGGCAGCCGCCTTGGGGACCACGGAGGAGCCTGCGGCCCAGCGGGGAGGCCGCGGCGAGAGCCTCGGACGAGGAAGGAAGCTCGCCAAATGCTCTCTCTGGTCAGCTGGGCGAAGAGGGCAGGTGGCCGACCCTGGGAGGCAGGGGCATCTGGGGAGCCTTGGGGTTTCCAGGCCTGGCAGAGCCTGCTGGCGGCCCCCTGGAAGGACCTGCCTGTGGGCTCCCTTCCTGATGTTAGTTAGGGTCCCTTCCAGGGTTGTTGCTTTGGCTCCCTGGAGACTCGGCGGTCTCCAACACGCATCTCCCACAAAGGTCTTGTTAAGGAAAGAATGAGGGCCGAAGCCTTGAGATGAGATCCCCATTCAAGAGGACCTGGGGTTTTCCTAGTAGACAAATCAGCAAACGTTCTTAGGGGGAAAGACTGCTTGCAGCACGGGAAATTTAAAGCACAGACAGGTGGGACGAGAAAATTTCTCGCCCTGTTGTGAACAGAAAGATACTGGCATTCGAATACAACAGACAGAGCCTGAATGTTTGTGAAGGTCTAAAAAAGACAGATTTGAGCGAACAGACACATTGTGGGCAGATTTCAGTTTGCTGAGACTTTTAACCCTAAGATAAGACACCAATGGAGACAGGAACATCCATATTTAAATGGAAAATTTAATATGTGATTGCGTTTTCTGGCAAAGTGCCCCTTTATATATCCAAAAAAAAACAAAAAATAACACGCAAAGCACCCCCTATCTATTTATTACCTTAAACACGTGGACCCATAGGTGCAGTTAGAAAAAGACAACCTATTTTTATTTATGTTAGAAGAAGTAGAGTATTTTTTTCAAGACGTTTATTTTTCAGAGTGGTGATAATTTTACTTTGGATACTCCGTGCCAATTTATTTATAGTCAAGTGTTTACAATTTTTCCTGTGGAATAATTATGTCCAACTTTCTAAGTGTTTGTTGCGAATATGCTGTGCTCTTTCTTTTTGCTCTAATTATATTGCACTTGTATAACGAATTTCCCACTTCTCCCTGTTTCTAAGCATATTTTATATATTAAGATGTTTGTTCATGAAAGGTTCTTTTGTTGTGAGATCAGCAACATTAGCACTTCACCATAATAATTTTTTTGAGTAAGTGTTGTTATTCTTATTCGTAGTTATGTCTGAAAAGTACAACTGTTGATAAGGAGAGTAGTTTCTTTGTGTGTGTGATGTTTCTGCGTGGGATGATTTTAGGAACATAAGTTATTTTCCTAAAAAATAGCGAGCGAGAGAGAGAGCAAGGCTTCAGAACTACTTTCCTCTGTGACAACCAAAAAGAAAAATCTATAACCTGAAAAATGTTTCATGTTCTCAGCTGTGAAACTCTTAACACAAGGAGTGTATTTTAGAGACAAGGGGGGGTGGAGGGAATGGAAAAAACAAACAAACAAACAAACAAACAAAAACACATCTGCTATCCAAAGATTTTAGTCTTTTTCAGGGTTTTTTTGTGTCTCTGTTGCTTTATATAATGCAATATTTTGTAGTGAAAATAGATATAATCTGGTTTCTATCTGACAAGTTTTTCATATCTCATGGATGGTGCGCTGTTTTGCATATAAATAAAGGTATCAAATAAATTCCTCTCTTTTATTTAAAGCGGACTGTCTAAAAATAATGGACACACTGCCTGAGCAAGAAATGTCTTAATGGACACAATTCCTCAGAAAGAAACTTGTTTTTAAAAGGCAATCATAACCTAGGCACACTGAAGTGTTAGGATCCTAGATGCTGGCTCTGAACTTGGACAAAGATAAGTAAATGACCCACAGGGGATGGTGACCAAGGGCAGGCTCCTCCCACAGAGGAAAAACAATGGTATTGTTTGTATAAGAACAGTCCTGCGTCTTAGATTCTTTTGCTGCAAAAAGGAACCTTCGAAACTAGCTGAATCTCTTCACAGTAGAGTTGGCAAACGGAGGCACAGGGAGTTTAGGGCGTTGTACCAACGGATCAAAGAGTGACTCAAGCAACTGGTGGCGGAGCTGCTCAAGGCAATGCAAAGACAACACCTGATAAGATGGCTCCCAGTCCTCTGGGCACATATTAAGAACAAACTGTGTATTAATAGTGGAAAGCACACACGTTTAATCAGGACACAGATTCAGGACATGACACTTGCAACCAAGGGGTGGGGGGGGGCAAACGTGAAGTCCTGGACCTGCCTTCAGGTATGAAGATTATTGCCTATATAAGTGCATAGCTAGTTTATAAAAGTGAATTATTTATCTAGCAGTTGAAAACATTATACTACCTTAAGCATGTTACATGGTATTCAATATGTTAGCATCCTAGCGCAACACACATACATACACACAAGATAGGACACTGACATACTGAATTTCTATCACACCAAATCTTTGGCTATAGAGTACGAAATGACATTTTTTAGATGCTTGATTTTATGTATCTAAAGTATCTTGGGACTGGTTTGTTTTTTTTTCTTTTCACCTTTCACCCAGGTGTATGCAATCAGGTTCACAGAGACCTAACAAGTGGGACTCCATGTTCTTCTTCCGCTGGTGGTGTGTATTAGCAAAGCGCTTCCAAACAGGAGGGAGAATGTTGTCTTCCTTTGCGTGGAATCTGGACAATGTTCTGACCACCGTAGCAATGACTGGGAATGCTCTGATTTGCAAAGATGTGTTTGTTGTCCATGGCTTCGAGTGTTTGTAGGTCTTCTTATCTCCACCACGGGGAGAGAAGACTCCTAGTCTGCATAACACTTTTTTATTAGAGGCCAGAAAAATCCGCTCCTGTGTCAAGAAAACTGTCCAATTCCAGCCTCTGGAATCTTTCGAGAGCCTCCCTCTCCTGGCTCATGAGCCCAACTTCCAACTGACTAACCACATCACTGACACAAATAAGTTCAGTCTTCCCACTCACATGCAGGCGGGACTTTCGATCCATTTCCCTAGGCGGAAGGCCCTTACACTTGGAGCTGGACAAAGGGCAGATAGGGAGAAAGAGCCACATCATTTTCCAAGTGCACAGCTGCTGTGGCCCCGGGAGGGGTTTTTTAGCCATGGTATTTCAGATCCTGAGCTGGTTGGTGCACACCCTCCTTAGAGAGACACTGTACACTGGGATTCTGCTAGAGCAGACGGTGGTTGGCCCATCCCTTGCACGTAGCCCTGACACGGTGGCGATTCCTCTCTGAATAATGCTGCTGCCGCCCTTCCACTTTCACATCCATCAAGTATTTATTGAGGAGCTGCTCAGTGTCAGGTGTACTTCCAGGTGCTGAACACCGAGCAACAAATGAGACAAAGTCTACCGGCCAAGTACTGGCAACCAATACGTAAATAATATTTAATTACAGGTCAGGATACACAAGGGCCCCTGGTAGTACAAAGAGCTGATGTTCTCAGTTGCGGGAAGGTTGGAAGTTGAAGTCCACCCAGAGGCTCCTTGGAAGAAAGGCTTGGTGGATTACTTCTAAAGAATTGTCCCTGGGAAATTCTGTGGAGCCCAGCTCTGCTCTGAGTACCCCAGTCAACTCCACGCTCTACTGATTAACAAAGGCAAACAGGAGCAGAAAGTGGCAGCTCGCTGTGCTGCCCGGAGGGATGAGTTTACACAGTGCTTCTAGGGAAGGCCACCCCAAGAGGAATTCTCTGAGTAGAGACTTCCCTAAAAAAGCCACGAGCCTTGTGGAAATCTGGAGAAAGAGTGAACATTATGAAACGGGCTGAGGCAAGAAGGGGTTCAGAGGCCAGCAGGCTGGTGGAGGGCCATTGCTGCAGGCCTTGGGGCTGAAGAGGGAGGCGGAGACAGGGCTTCTTTAACTTTTTTTGAATTGAGACCTTTTTTTTCACCCGAAAATTTTCAAACAAGCGCAAGACCTGTCAGAAGCACCTCAGATCCATTTCATGTTGGATTTTGACATTAATTTTTGGTCCTTACGCACTCAGAACACCTCCACTGCTCCCACATTTTTCGTGACCCACGGGTTTAGAAGCTGTGCTTTTCAAAGTGGGTGATCTACCACCCCTGTGTGGTGCAGGACTATGGGGGGGTGGGGGTGGGGGGCGCTGGAATGAGCAGAGGGAGCTGCGAAGGGAGGTGACAGGGCACTTTCTCCTGAACTATGGGCTGTAGTACATGTTCTTAATTGCCAAGCGGGCTCTGAGTAATTTTTTTTTATAAGAGGCAGTAGGTTAAATAAGTTTTGGAACTTATGATAGAGTCTTGACGGGCAGGGGCATTTTGGGCTGATAACGAAAAGTGGTTGGAACTCACCACCCCATCAGGGAGAAAGCAGTGGCAGTCAGGTTCCCATAAAGGCTGACAGCCCAGAAAACCCTCGGGGGCAATTCGACTGGACTCACAGGGTCGCTGAGTCAGAGCCCAGGTAATGGCAGTGGAAGCCACAGAAGAGTTTGGCAAGCCATCCGGTCCATGTGCATTACTCGTCTCGTGGGGGAGGGAAGGAGGGACCATGGGAAAGCAGGAGTGGTGGCAAGGTGACATGGGAGGCCACAGTCCCATTGAGAGCTGCTTGCTGGTGGACTGGGCTGGAGTGGGAAGAGTGGGAGTGGAGAGAAATGGTCCGATTTCCAGTCTCTTTCAAACTGGAGCCCCCGGACTTCCTGCGGGACTCCACGGTGATGATGGTGGCAGCCAGGACAACCACACTCCTGTTTCACATTCTGCAACATGGTTACGCTTCCACCTCACTTGTGGGAGGCAAGCAGGGTGACCCTCATTTCACTGATGATGAGATTGGGATCGGAGGACATCAGTGGTTGTCCCGTGCACTTCTGACTCTGTGTCCCAGCACGTAACCCCTCGTACCCCGAGTCCTCATTTGCATCCCTTTGTAAGGACAAAGGGGCCAATAGGTGAGGTCAAGTGTAGGCTGTCTCACCTCCTTGGCCCTCTGCAAGGG